TCATTGCATCGTGCTCAATTAATATTGAAGCGTACCATATTGCATGCATATCATGGAGCTCGTCTCGACCTTATATCCCACACAAAGCGACGGGACTATTGCTGTGTAGGTATTGTAGCACCACCCCCTGGCTTTTGCCGTGTTCGAATCACCAAGCAAAAACCACCAGCCTACCACTACAGCTGGGCCTCCACTGATGTACTTTTCTAACGGTAACTTTATGCTGCTCGTTGCTGGTCTTGCTCGGGCTGGAAAGGGTGGTACAGCAGTCGTAGAGGGGCGTACGGGTTCCGGGTACGCTGCGGCGAAAGCCGAGTGATGGAATAAACCATGTCAAACCACCACATCCACGCGCCCAGCCTCAGGAGTACTCCACATGGCATCAACGAACTGTCAAGAGCAGCGGGCATAGACGCCCAAATACGAAAACCGTCCGGAATCTCCATGCCGTGTATCTCGTCGTCCGCGTTCATGCTGTCGTCTTCGTCCAGAAGCCCCCCCAATCTCATCGTTTAGAGCCCGTGGCACATTCGCCTAGAGCACAGCGAAACACGCCAAGATAAGCCGCCGCCGGTACGAGCTCATGAACGCAGCAGCAGCAGCAGCAGCAGCAGCAGCAGCAGCAGCAGCAAACCAACAACGACGATGACGGCAGCGGCGGCGACACGCCAGGGAAAACGAAACGAATCTGTCTGCAATTGTTCCGTCCACCCGCGAAATGGGAGCCCTTTCCTGTTTCGTGTCATGGCGGCGCGTAAGTTATTCATTGTACACCGCTAGTTCTATGTTCAGAATGGAACATCTGTTCTTATCTCCAAAGTCATAAGTGGCGCCTTGTGTAACACTTAATAGGAACATGTTGCATATCTGCATCTTACCACGTGTCATTGTGGTCGTTGATTGGGTATCGGAGGGCGTTGGATCGATCACCCTCCTCTCGTTTTTGCCGTATACCTCAAGCAACCCTGTCGCACAAATATTATGCGTTGTTTGCGACAAACCGCTCCTTTTCCGGCGTTCTCTTTTTGCTTCTACGAGTTGGCCCTTTGTTATCGACAACAGCAGACAGCTCTAATTTGTTTGCGCGCACCGGAGTTAACCATCGCCTCGAATACCTTCCACACGCCTACAACGTGGAACAGCAGTGTGTGGGTGCAGCGACAAAACTGAAAGTCAAGTTTAGGACTGGAGACGTCGGCCTTCGAGACCGTACACGAAGATTCAGGAAGATAGGCTTAATAAAACGACAAGTTCAAGACATACAGATAAGGCCCGGAGGCAAGAAACGTCAAAATCGGGTCGAGCCTCAATCTTATTCTGGGCAGAAGGACCAGCCGAAGTCGGCCAATTTATTAAAACGGATTTCTTGTTCCTTTGGGTTGTCGCATCCTGCTGATGATCAGCATTCTCTTATTTTTTCTTATTTCTAATGGCGAAGAATACAGCAACACACCAAAAGCCTTCATGCAGCATTAAACCGACAGCTCGGTGTGGCGAATATTGGGGGTTGTGGCAGTACAGAAGAGGTACAGCAGCAGTGGGTAGCGCAGCCCGCGGCGGCGCTGGGGCGCTGGGGGCGCCACGAAAATGACCACTCTCTGACCCTACCAAAAAATTGCATGACATGAGCTAGGGGGTCGGAGCATGGCGGCAGCAGCAGCAGCAGCAGCAGCAGTGGGACGTTTCTTTGGGCATGCTCCCCCAGTTCTACCCCTTGTTTCTTTTATCTTGGGGTATAGCACGATCATGTTTCTTATTGGGACGTTTCTAATGTTGTGGCCGAGGTTGAGTTGTGTTTCTTAGGCCTTTTTGCTTATTTCCCGGAAGAAAATTAGCCTTTTTTCTCAACAGAATTTTTCTTAACTGCGGGCCCCATCTGTACTGTGAATGCAGCTCCGAGTGCGAAGACCGGGTGCATAAGTTGGAGAATGTCCTTATTACGAAAAGGAGAAAAGAGGTGCATGAGTGAGTGAGCCTGGGATAAAAAGAAGGAAGTCACGAGAGAGAAGCGTTGGAGGAATGAAAAACCAGAAGACGGTAGCTATACTGGGGCATAGGAGGTGGGCGGAAGAGGCGAGTAAGTGATGTCGATAGGATCAATATGTCAGGAAAAATATTTTTGAGCCACCTTTGAAAAAAGTAGGGAGGAACGATTGGCCATCGGTGATCGGCCCCCCTGTTGAAACATGCTCCGTCTTCTCGAGGACACATGATCAATGGTCTAACGAACTAAGGCGTGCAAAACATAATAACAGTTCGCCCCCCCGACAAACGCCTGTAAACAAAAATAGAATATTTTTTCTGCCTTCACATTGGAGGATATTTTTTCGCTGAGTCGTCAAACGGTATCCGCCCAAGCGAACACCCAGAAAACTCATGTTTACCACAGCCACCACCTGCTGCCGAATCGAGAAGAGGTGCCGGTTAAAGTATCCATACATGCTTGCAAGGATTACCCAGACAACGGACGATATATTAGTATTCAACCGCTTGGATGGATTCTTGGGCACCACAGCGAAGTTCGCGGCCCATCCCCCCGGTCACCCGTAGTCTACGCCACAGCATTTCAGCGTTCAGGAAACCAAGCTGCTACGATTTAGGTTTTATTGTTGTTTTTCCCGCGGGTTTGCAGCATTCTCAGTACCAGTGATGCTATGGTGTTTCTCAGCAGTAAGCACGTTTCAATGAAAGCATCAGGACGTTTCTTAAGCACCGTGTTTCGGAGATTTGTTTTCTCTCTCACGGAGGAGGGGTGGTCTGCAAGGGAAAAATATTTTCGATCCGAGGGATCTTCTTACGGCTCCTCGAGAAATCGTTTTGTCCCAGTGGAGAAAAAAGACCGATTCAAGTTTTTGTGGGTCACAGCATGGTTCAGTTCACGTTTTCGGCTAGTGTGCGGCCAACAAGACACAGAGCACCCTGTTTTTGGGTCGCCTGCCGAGGACATGTGTATGACCGCACGCCATTGTCTGCAGTTTGTGGGTGTCGTCGGCCTACAAGTCCTCCCTCTGGCATGCGTTGTGGACTGGTCACACTTGGAGCAAACAGAAAACAAAATGGGAGCGTCCAACACGTCAACACCGAAACACACTTCAATTCACGTTTGCAGGCCGTGTGCAATCAAAACTGGACCATTCGCTCTGTTTCTTGGGCGCGAGCAGAGGGTATGTATCGTTTGACCACACGCCATTGACTGCAGTTTGTGGATGTCTTCGGCCTAAAGCCTCTCTCTGGCATGCGCTTTGGACTGATCACACACATGCAGCAAGCGCAAAACTTTTTTTGTTGTCCGAAAGGCAAGAACATCAGCAGAGCCAAGTGGCAGGGTGTCCGTTTTCGGCTCGTGTGCGGCCAACAAGACACAGAACGCCCTGGATTTTAGATACCTACAACGGGTTTGTGCATGACCTCACCATACGGGCTTCTGTTTGGGCAGCAGACGGTGTAGTTCCTCGTTCTGGCACGATCGGCGTGCGACCCCGCCCAATTGTCACCGCGAAAAAAGCAGCCACACGCTATTAGAAAATTGACCTATTTTCTAACTCTCCAGTTGAAATCGTTGGAAATATTCGGGCTTTAAGAATTTGGGCTTTAGGAATTGGCCATTTTCCTCCGCGTAAAAGCTAAAATTATGTTTTGGGCTTGGAAAATGCCCCCCCCCCCCCCCCCCCCCCCAGTAAGCACAAGATGCCGAACACCCTTAGCAGGATGCAGCTCACCCTTCATGCGACTCGCCAAATACCTCACGGC